GCATGTGGTGCTGGGGGATTGAACCTCGGTCCCTGTGCTTTGCTAAGCTTGTTCTAAGTAGGTGCTTTAGACCACTGAGCCATCTCACCAGCCCTGATAGATCTCTTCTTGAGGCTGGTCACAAAGGTGTTCCTGCTGTCAAAGGGAGTTTTGCTCTGGAGTTTGTTTCAAATCTTCTATCCACCCAAATCATGTTGCATTGTAGAGAAAAGGTCCAACTATATTTGGAATATAATTTTAAATTCTAAATTAAATTTAATTTCTGTCATTCTAACTACAATCAAACACTAACAAGTAAGATGCCAAATTACACATGTAATATGAATATAGCCAGTAAGAAGCTGGAAAGTGGCGCATACTTGTGATCCCATCTATTCAGCAGACCGAGGCAGAAGAACCCCAAGTCTGAGGGCAGTCTAGGCTGTTCGGCAAGACACCAGCTCAACACAGTTTAGAAAGGGCTGGAGATGTAGCTCAGTGGAAGAAAACTTGTCTAGCATGAGTGAGGCCCTGACTTCAATCCACAATACTGAGGAGAAAAGTATACTCGTCTCCTTCAAAAGAACTAATGTAGAGCAAAGCTTGGCAGCACTCTGAGCTACAGGACATGCCTGCATCCGAATGTCCACGTGTGAGTTAGGGGAGTGCTTGCCAGTCCGTCCTCAACCCTTGTGCAGACAGCATCTGCTGCTGTCTGTCAGGATCTCACTCAACTGAACACAACTTGGAAAAGGCTACTCTACTGGCATGATATTTTTATGTCTCATTTCTCTTTTAATTTAATGAGTAGCTACTTAACCCTCAGCTTATGGGAAACACCATAGACTAACCCCCATATGTTTTTCTGCCTCTCTTGCAGGGGGACAGTACCTCAACTGGATAATTACTAATCCCACACAAGATTATACTGAATGTTCTGACATGTCAATGGCTCATACTGTCCATGTTCTCTATTATCTTACTTTTTCACTTGATATTACATTTGCAGGCAACAATTATTAAATAGCCAGGTACAGAAGTGCAAACCTGTAATACCAGCTACTCAGGATTCTGTCTCAAAATAAAAAATAACAGGCTGAAATGTAGGTCAGTGGTAGAGTCCTTGCCGTGCATGCACCAGGCCTTGGGCTCAATACCCAGTACTATCCCCACTCCTCACAAAAGACTGTTCACTTCAGGACATTTCCATACTACTGCTTGCTGACAGGAGAAACAAAGGGGAACAGCCATTTATGATGAACATGGTTCCTGTTGACATCATCGATACATGGTGCTTTCCTATCTTCTGAAGCACCAAGCCTGACTTTGGGCAATGATAGATAGACAGATAGATAGTGCTCAGGGGCTAGGGAGATAGCTATAGCTCAGTGGCACAAGTGCCTGTCTGGCAAGTGCAAGGTCCTAAGTTCAATTCCTGGGACAAAACCAAAACAAAACAAAAAAAGCAAAGCAAGAGATAGCAATCAGCTATACTATAGCTTCTGTGGAAAACAGGAAGCTCTTTGCTGGTATACTGTATGACAGTACTTTACCTTCACCATAGGAACGTACTCCTCTGGTGGGGCTGGCTGGATTTTGCTGGACATCTCGATGACAGCTTTCACCAGGCCCGTCACGTTCTCATACACTTTGTCATTGGATCGGTCCAAGTTGGCAGTAGGAGGGGGGCTGATTTCCTGGGGCTGAAGCTGACAATACAGAAGCTGGTAATTTTTCTACTCTCCGATAGATGGCATGCTAGCACCACAATTAAGTTAGTGGGTCTTTAAAAGAGATCAAAGTAGATCACAAAAAAGATAATTGGTTTTGTTTGTATGGGATACAGTTCAGTTTGAAGATGACAGTAATTAATACCAGTGACATAAATAAAACAGTATTTTTTCTAACTTTGAGCTCAGTTAAAGGAAATGAGATGGAATCATACATAGCACACTAAAATGCCCAGATTCTTTCAGAAATGATTCAGGGTCCCCAGAATCCAGAATTATTAACTACAAGAGCAACAAGCCATACAGTTTATTCTGATGATTCTTTAAACTTTAGAGAAAGTCACATAATACTCAGTATTTCCACTAATTCAAGCTCTGGAATAAAAATCTTATGTGGCTCAGTTCAAGTGCCTTTAAACCCTGATGAAAATGAACTCTTCACAGTGATTTAAAAAAAGCTGGCACATACAAGCCCGCTTTTAGTAAACACCATCTGCTTTGTACTCTATTACTTTAGTCCAAATAGTGGAACTGGGGCAGGGCTTCCTGTCAGTTTGATGTTGACTTCTGGGTGAGCCTGGCTCTGAGAGCATTAGCTCTCTTCCTGGCAATAGCAAGGAGGGCAAGTGAAGCTCTAGGTCTTGGGGACAGATGAGATGCACCAACAAATAGTACTGAAGATAAGCACTGAAGGCAGGATGACATGCACCTCCAGGAAATTGTCAAGTTGGTTAGAATTACAGTAGTTACAAAAAAGACTCTGTGCGCGCGCGTGTGTGTATGTAACAACTGCTGCTGGAGCTTGGGCTACCTGCCCATTTCTGAACTCGTGCGTACTTTGCTACAAAAAACTGAAACAGGCTAATTCTGTGAAAAAGGGCAAAAATAACTCCTTTACTGCAAAGATGTTCATGTCTCAATTTCTGGCCAATACAAGTGCTGTTTTTGGCATTTGCCAGTCACGAGAGGCCAAGTGTGCTTCTACTTGGTATTCTACGTGCTAGTTCAGAGACACATGCAGAAAGCAGGTTGTGATACAGTGAGCTGGACAGACACACAGACATGATGTGCTTACCCTCCATGGCTATTGTCGAGCAGAAGGTGAGGAAAAGTTAAAGGAATTTATCAGAGAAAAGGAAAAAAGAAAAACAATATTAATAAGGCAGCAGATAATCCCTCACAAAACATATGAGCAGAACACGAACGTGCTGGCTGCAGGGCCACCCTCTGCTCAGCTTGCAGGCCGTCAAGAGCGCTGCTGTGTCTGGCGTCTCCTCAGGGTAGAGTGAGTTACCCAAAGCCCCAAAGCCCTGCCATGCACACTTGTTCCTAGGATACAGAAGAGCAGGACAGCATGCAAAGCCTGGAAGTGACAACTGGCAGCCGTGCAAGAATCAATAGAATAATACTCTTTGTAAGAGAGGAGGAAGACATGTTTAATCTGCCTTCTAAGGAGTTTGGGAGAAATTGTTCAAGCCCTTTCCATTCCCAGCTCTCCAGGGAAATCTGCATCAACTACACTGCCCTAAGATTCCTGGCACTGGGGTGTATCAAAAAAACCTCAGGAGTTAATTTTTTGACAAAAACCTTCCTTTGGAACCAGTTCTTACGGGAATGTTCTACTACTTTAAACAGTTTCAGTAGCTGTATTTTTTCTCCAGAGCTTAACCCAGCTATGATACTGTAACTGAACTGGCAAAGAAACAGGAAATACCCTCTCCTGTCTTCGTAACTGCTCACATCTCCCTCCTCTACCCCCTGAACCCCACATGACCTTGGCGTGCAAATCCCATAGCATCTTCTGTTTTATTTTTGAGACAGGAACTCGCAAAGTTGCCCAGGCTGGCCTGAAACTTGCAATCCTCCTGTCACAGCCTCTTGGGTAGCTGGGATCATAGGCATGTGCCACCATGCCCAGCATGTAGCACTGTAAGTTTTGAGGTGTGTTTTCTCATGCACTACAGAGAGCAAAGGATTTATAACTGCATCATTCCTAAGAGAAGACTTGCTACATTTTATTTTCTGCACTGAGAATCATGATGCTTATTAATTCTGTCTTATCTCTCCAGGATGTCCTTGTTTAAATTCCAACAACACAGAAAGGTGGGGGTAGCTTCCTAAGGTGCCAAGGTAAGAGATGTGATCAAAAACTATGGTTAATGTCTAAATTAAAAAATTACAGTAAAAGGCATATTATCATTAATCTCCTTCGAAGTATTCCCCCTTGCTTTGAACATACTTATTCCATCATTTCTGCTACTTTCTTTGTTTTGTTTTTTGTTTTTGGCAGAAGCGAGGATTGAACTCAGGCCCTTGTGCTTGCCAGGCAAGCGCTTATTCTACTGAGCTACCTCCCTGGCTCCCTCCTGCTACTTTCTGAAGCAGTTCTAGAAGTCCTCTCTCAAGTGTCTTTAGTTGAGCTGTCATGGCTGCCTTGGCATCCTGAATTGAATCAAACCATGTACTTGTAGACAGAAGAGACAGGAGTTGTAAGGCACCAGATCTGATGAATAAGGTGGGTGAGGATATACTGTAATGTTTTTCCAAGTCTGTCATTCTTCTGGATGGCACCCAGCAGTAGGATTCACTGTATTTTTGATCATGCCTCATAAAGATGCTCATGAAAGACTACCAGAACTGCTTCACTAAATACCAAGAATAATGCAATAAGAGTGTTCGAAGAAAGAAGAAATATTCTGAGGGGATTAATGGCAATGTCTTTCATCATAATATTTAAAATTTAATCATATACTGTATAGTTTGATCTTTTCATCTATAACAAACCTATAATTCGAGGAGGTGGAAGGAGGTTTATGTTAACCCACTTCAAGCTTTTATTCTTTGGCTCATTTTTAGCCCAACATTTGTCACAGAAGGTCACTGTCATGATGATTCTAAAGACTATTCACAAAGACATTGTAGATGTCAGGTTGGTTTAGAAAAGCATTTTATGTGTTTCCTATTTTCTGGAGTTTGACTACTTGTAACTCTGTAGCTGGCAGTATAAAAGAAACCAATTCACTCAGGTTACTGTATAAAGACAGAGAATTAAGAACTGCGCTGGGGTGTAATTCAGTGGTGGGTTATGTGCTTAGCAAACATAAGGCCTTGGGTTTAATTCCCAGCACCACAAAAACGAAACAAAATACAATCCCCACAAAAATACCACAAAATGTAAAGTCACCAAGGAAAAATGGAGACTAATCATTTTGGGCTAAATGTTACTGGGTGAATCATTTTAGTTACATGTAAAGGCAAATATTTCTGTATCAGAACAATATTGTTCTTGCAGGCAAGATTCAACAACCTCTACCAAACTAACACAATGAAGAAGCATATACTTAACAGCAGTTATTTAAAAACCTTTACTCAATATATTTTCAGCATATTTTTTCTAACAAGACGTCTACTTAATGCCCTATATTAAGAGTATTTACAGTTGTATTTATTTACTATGTCATTTCAACTATGAAAAATCGACATTTGTTGATGTTTTAGGGTGGTACCTCATCCATCTACTTTTTATGTTGGCTTTTTAGTATAATGTAAGCCTTTATGAAAGTTTGCTCTTAGGGCACATAGTTCATTAACCTAATTTCTCCTCCTTTCTCATTACAAAATTGTTTAAAGAAATTCTGTTAGGAAGGGTTGTTTTCCCCTGTATCTTCTCTGAGAAACTCAGTGTGTTGTTAACAGAGCCACGGGAGACACAGCTGGTGAGAAGAGCTCTGGACAAGTCACCAGCAGGAACATCCTCAGCTCCACTGTGCCGGTGTGATGCAGGCTCCTGAATGGGTAGAGCAACCCTGCCTTCAGCTGCAGTCTGACTTGTCCCGGGCTTGGCAAGGACCTGGTCTCTGTCCTAGGATGATCCAAGTCCTCTGTGCTGACAACACATCCATTTCTGACCACGACTTAAGAGTTGCTCCAGAGATTTGCACTTTGAGCAGAAGCACCTAAGTGTGCAGCCCACATATCCAACTACTGGAGCTGTGTGACTCTGAATAAGCTGCTTTACTTCTGTGAGCACTGACTGGCTGGTAGGAACAATGTGACCTCCACCAATGTAGTGAGGCTGATGCAAAGATTTAAAATACAGAGGTCTGTCACAACACTTCGCTCAGGAAAGGCACTTGATAAGTGGCAGAAATAAGGAAAACAAAGGTTATCATTAACATATTCCATAATTATTAGATTTAAGATGCTGTCCATTAAAAGATGCATCATTTTCTTATGCAACACTAAGAAAGAAAGTGCTGCCAATTATACCAACATAGCACTCCAATTCTAGAGATAGTAAAATGCATATACGCCTGGGAAGTAGGGCATATTTTGAGAGGTAGTTTGTGACTTCCTGAGGCAAGTGAAGAGACTGTATCTCCGTGAGTGGCCGAGGTAGAAGAGGAGTGCCCCTCTTTCCTGACCTAGAACAAAGCTGCCCCAGTATCTATGAGACTGCAAGGGAACAACAGAGAGCTGGACAGAGGTGTCCCAGTGACACATCCCAGGCGGGCAGAAGATGAAAGTCCTCACCCAAGGGGGAGCCTCTGGTTATGCCTCAATGAAATGCTACTCTTGTCTGAAGTCAGCTCTACTTGTAGTTTTACAAACACAAATCTAATCCTGGATGAAAGCAAGTTTTCCATGAAGCCACATTTACAAACTTGGAGATGGCAAGCCCACAGGAAGTCCTCAGCCCAGGTATCTCGAATTATATATATTTTTGGGACAGAGTCTCACCATGTTGTGCAGGCTTGCCTTGAATTCACTTATGTAGCCCAGCTTGATCTTGAACTCACACAATCCTCCTGCTTCAGCCTCCTGAGGGCTGAGTTAATTAATTTTTAAAATCAGAAGCTACCTCAGTATTTTATCTCAAAGACATAGTCTATCTCACAGAAAGAAGACTTGCCAGACTGTCAGGATGACAGTGCGTCCTAAAATCTATATGCTGAGAAAAAAACAGGAAAGAGAGGTCATGCCCCACTTTCTTGACTTTCAGAGGGTTTAGAACCAGGGCTATGGTTTCCTGAGTCCCCCGTTATCCTCTCAGTACCACCCCCAACCATTCTATGACAAATATGTCATCTGCACACTGCACAGGCTCATGCACTCACCTTGACACCCTCATTGTAGCTGTCCCCAGGGCTGCTGAGGCTGGCAATGCTACCTAGATGACCGGGGGCTCCGGGGCGTGGTGGTTTCTTTGGTGGCGCTGCAGGATCTGGTGAAGTAGAATGAGTCACATTATGCATATTAATGAAGAGGAAGCAAGTGACTCTTGGACACCATGCACCAGGCAGCAGTATTTCAATAGACATTAGACCACTAGCCTCTTATTCTAAGGAGAAGTCTGATACATTACGGCTGTAAATTCTGCTTTCCAGTACTCTAGTCACAGGTTAAACATGGTAAACACTTGCTGTGGTCTGTGGAGGGAAGACTACTAAAATCACAAGGGCATTCCAAAGCTATGACATCATATACACTTACAGCATGCTCCTGCCAAATTACACAAACTTCTTAACACACAACTCATTTCTTCACTGACCTGGTTTACCCACAGGCTGGTAGATGTGCTGGTTTCCAGTCTGTGGGAAAAGAAAAGTTCAATCAGTGTGCTGGTGTGTGCAACGGGTAATGACTGCCCTCTTTCTTCCCTGTCTATCTGTCCCCCCAAAATCTGTACTAGATGCTAGGCCTGAAGACAGCCAAGTCCCAAATAATGCCAGGAGGACATGTGGAAAGAGCTGTGACACAAGTAAGCAGAGGGTGCTCTGGGACCAAGACAGAAAAGTCTAAAACCCCAGAATTCTAGTGTCTGGTACTCAAAGTGCTCCTACCCCTCATCTCTGTCTCTTGTCACAGCCTGAGTATGGTCAGAATAATGATGACAGAAGAGGGGCCTAGAAGCACTGGGATGTCTGGATGTCCCTTGGGCCCATAATGACATCCCTGAAGTACTGTGCACATCAGGGTCTGGCTAGAGAAGCCAAACTATAGCCTTCCTGAAATCTATAGCAAGAAAAGACACCTCCATAGTGGCACAGTAGTGCATGCATGTAATTCCAGTACTCTGGGAGGCTGAAGCAAGAACATTCCAAGTTTGAGCTCAGCCTGGGCAACTTAACTTAGCTCAAGCATGAAGGTGGGCACTGTCTCAAAATAAACAGAGAGCTGGGGATGTAGTGCAGTGTGAAGTTCCATCCTTAGTACTGACGTGGGGTAGGGGGAAGACACCAATAGGTAATGCTAGCTGTACTTCAGGTTATGTCTGAAACTGCATTTAAAATAAATGTGTCTTGCCAGAGAGATAGCTCAGTGGCATAAATGTGTGCCTAGCAAGTGCAAGCTCTTGAGTTCGATTATTCCCAGTACCAAAAAAATCTCAGTCTAACTAAAGAAAAAATTTTGCGAACCATATTTTACTGCTAAAAAGACCTTTATTTCAATATAATGAACCTGTTTATATATTATCTATTAGAAAGAAAGCCACTTTATATAACATACGGTGGCTATGAAATAGCTCCTTTACTGAGAACCATAGTTGTTCTCTATAAGCTTTTCTGAAATAAGGACTTTGAAATTGGGATCTTCCTGCCTGAGTCTCTGGAGTAGCTGAGATTATAGGTGTACACCAGTGTTCTTGGCAAAAAACCTTTTCATCTGTGGTACTGGCAATGAAATCCAAGCCTCATGCAATGCAAAGCACTTGCTCTGCCACTAAGCTATATGGCGCTAAATCTTGTAAACTCCTCAGAGCTTGCCATCTTCTTATGGTGGGCTTTGGAGTAGGGGGTCATGGGACTAAAAGGCTGTGGTTCTCTTTGTCCACCCAACTTGTATGCTATTTTAAAGTCCAAATAGGATTTTACTTTTCAGGCACACTAACATCAATTTCTCATTATCTAGTTATTAATGTCTATTAATTAGCTCGCAACTATTTATTGCTTTCAAGAAATGGGTCAGAATGACATTGCTATCTTTACAAAAGAACAAAGAGAAAAAACTCAGACACAGTCAGAAGATGTCAACAGTCCTTAGAAAGGAAGTAAGGGAAGCCTGTTGAGCTAGGCTGGCCCTGTCTATGAGAACACCATCTGGCATCTGGTACTGCAATGGGGTACCTGGGCAAGTTTTCATGCAGCCCAGACCATTCACTGGGGACTGTGGGTGACCATAGCACCTGATGGGACAGGAACAAGAGGACTCAGTGATGGGCCACGAGTGCACCACTCAGTCCGGTACCTTGTAGTACTAACCAAGTTCTCAGTACTAGGCACTCTCATTGCTGCCTAGCTCTGGCATGGAAAAAAATTAAAATCACAGAGGGGCCTGTCAGATGGCTCACTGCCTTATGGGTTCTTACTAATAAGTGTTTCTGAATAAACCATCTATCCAGGTTTCACTCACTCATTCAATATACAAATTTTCTGAGTACTTTCTATGTGACACATATTGGAAAACAAAACATTTTCCTTTTCTAACAAATTTCCTAGGATGGGGAGATAGATCAGTGGTACAAGTGCCTGTGCCTGCCTGGGCAAGCACAAAGTCATGAGTTTGATCCCTGGTACCACCACCAAAAAAAAAAAAAAAAAAAAAGGGTTATAACAATGTTCCTGTTACAGTGTTCTAAAAAGCCAGTCCTTTGAATAAAGTTTCTTTTTTTGTTCTTTGTTTTTTGTTTCTGAAGACAGGGTCTTGCTATGTAGTTCAAGCTAGTTTAAACTATGCAGCCCAGGCTGGCCTCCACTGTGCAGCAGTTTTCCTGGCTCAGGCTCCTGGGTGCTGAGACAACAGGCAGGCACCACCACCTCCAGTTTATTTTTATTTATTTATTCACCATCTCCAGTTTAGTATTTATTTTTTCAAGGTGGTGTATTGCTTTATTGCCTTATTTTTAAAAATTAATTTTAGTATTTATTTTTGTTCTTGAATCTCAATCTCTCTCTCTCTCTCTCTCTCTCTCTCTCTCTCTCTCTCTCTCTCTGTACATATGTATGTATGTGCTGGGGATTACTGAATCCAGGGCCTTTACACTGAGTTACACTCCCAGACCCATGCTGGAGCTGAACTAGGAATCCTTCTGCCTTAGCCTCCTGGAGTGCTAGGATTGTAGATATGTGCCACCATGCCCAGCCCATTCCTTGTCAAAAAATCATAGCAGAAGGATGGAGAGATAGCTCAGGGTTCTAAGTGCTTGCCTGGTAAGCACAAAGACACAGGTTCAATCCCAGGTAACGCATGCTGTACCAGCCCCAGGTGCTGAGCAGACCTCTGAAATGAGGTGTGGTGGCACATACCTGTAATCCCAGTGCTAGAGAGGCTGAGACAGGAGGATCATTGAGTGTGAACCAAATAAAAAAAATAAAAAAATCATAGTAGATGGCTTGCTATGAAATATTCTTTCCAACATAAGGAGCTCAGTATGTGGAGACTTTGATGGTTATATGACTTTCTGCTCATGAACTATGGAATTACCTGTATGCAATGTGTAGAGACCAGTGAGCCAGCACATTCTGATGGGAAACATCAAACCATCACAGGCTGGCAGCTGGGCAAATATTTCAGGTGCCTGATTTCAGAGGCAGAGACAATTTTACGGTGTGGGTTAGGAAAAATTCCGAGTAGGGCTGTTACATAGAATACACTGTGGAGCTGCTTGGAAGATAGAATTGTGATTAAGTTTGGTGCTGCACTCCATTCAGAGCTTACTACTGAGAGATCTTGAAGACATTCAGCATGTTTATCTCACAAAGTTGGGAGTTAACTTTGTATTGGTGAAAAGTGTTTACAATGCTTTTAGACTAGTGCTGACAGCTTCACATTTGTACTTGTGTCTAAAAATCAACTCAGTGATTTTTTTCTTCCCCAGAAGCCTTACATGGGTAGGACGTTATCCCCATTAAGTTTGCTACCTAACAAGTGCAGTGTAGGTTTAAAGAAATGTGCATTAAAAAGCCAGGTGTGGTGGTGCACTGAGGATGCTGAGGCTAACGCTGGTAAAACTGTTCAAGGACAGCCCGGCCTGCATAGTTGTTTCAAGGACAGCCTGAACTACAAACTGAGACCCTGAATGGTGAGAAACCAAAAAACAAATCTACATTAGTTTAAACTGCATGTCTGACAGTGAAAATCTTGACAGACAATTTAAAGTACTGGGGGCTTGTGGGTTAGCTCAGTTGTTTAAGCATCTGCTTGGGCAAAACCAGTCAGGTGCAGGGGACTGTGGTTCAACTCCCAGCTCCACATGCCATACCAGACCTGCCCTTAAGGCAGCCTGAGCCAGCCAAAAAACAAAATAAAACAAAAAAACCGGTACTTTTCTTCAAATACTTGAAATATTTCTAAGCAGCTTTAAATATATTTGGAATAATTATAAGCTAGCTCTTTTAGGAAAATTTCAGGCATTTACTCCCCTATACCTAGAAGGACAAAAATTTTACTTGAACAAGTTTTTATGTGATTGTGGAAACTTTTATAACCATGTAATAAAAGTATACAAATTTAGCAAATGATAACTTACATGTAATAGTCAATTTGCTTAAATATTTCCTTAGGTCACCGAAAGTTTGGCTTACTTCTTTTTTTTTTTTTTTTTAAATTTTTTTTAATTATTTATTTATTTCATTTATTTTGTGTGTGTGGCCAGCTCAGCCCACCAGGGGGCAGGGATGGCTGGCATGTGGTGCTGGGGGATTGAACCGTGGCCCCTGTGCTTTGTTAAGTTTGTTCTAAGTAGGTGCTTTAGACCACTGAGCCATCTCACCAGCCCAAAAAATCCTTAAGCATTCTTTTTTTTTTTTTTTTTTTTTTGGAACCGGGGATTGAACTCAGGCCCTTGTGCTTGCCAGGGAAGCACATGTTCCACTGAGCCATCTCCCTGGCCCCTCCTGGTTTGGCTTACTTCTAAAAGAGCCTGTATCAGCAGTGGAGCACAAACTTCTGAATCTGTATTCAGGTATATTTTAATAATCTTAATTAAAATGCTCATTTTATTCATAAATTCTTCTGTCCTGTAGCTTAAATATCAGTCAGCTTGGATACTTTATTTTCAGCCATGAGCCAATGGACTGCACACATGAGATCTGAAGTCAAACCCTGGTGACAACTCAAGCTGGTGCTTACCGGACCCTGAAGACTCCCATCCTCCCTGTCGATGCTGCCTCGAGAGAGCCTCACGTCAGGTTTCTTAAGAAATTGAAACAAAAACAGAATGACTCATTTTTACTGAAGATTACTGACAGATTCTATTAAAAATTCTTTCCCTTTACAACACAACTGCTTCCAGCTACAGCCAACAGAACCAGGCTTCAGTCTTCCTGCCTTTGCCCTTGGCTTTCTCCAGGGCATGCACTATTTTATCCTACAGCATCTGGGCTCCGCATCCTGCTCTTAAGTCTGTACAACCATGTTCAGAGCAGCCTTTTGATGATTTGAAGGAAATTTCTTTCCAGAACAGGGCCCCACATGTCCCTCAGTGAATGCAGAAGTCTAGGAAAGGTTGTATAGAGCAATGAGTGTTGGAGCTACTGATAGCTCATCATAGGACTCCAGATAGACAGCTGTTGTTAAGAATCTTTAGGGCTTTTGTGTGGGAAAAGGTGAACACAGAGCACACATTATAGCTCACTTGTGGAAAAACTCAAATAACCAGAGATGCCTTCAATAGGGCAGACAGTGAGAAGAGCAGCACCAGAGGGCAGGAGTACCTTGTGCTTATACTGCACTCATTCAGTAGAACTGATGCCACCCCCCCTCCCCCCCGCCCAGCGCAGGGAGCACATTCAGTATATTGCTTATTGAGGTAATGTCCAAGCTAAGATGGAAAAAGACACTTCCTTTTATTGAAAAAATTCCACCCAAAATCAGATAAAAAATGACTTAAATTTGCAATGCATGTTGAAGACAGTGTGTTTTTTCTTTTTTTAAAAATGTATTTGGTACAGGGTCTATAGGGTCTCACTACACAGATCAGACTTGTAGTGATCTTCCTGTTTTCAGCCTCCAAACACTGGGATTATAGGCACTCACCACCATGCCCAGTCTCAGTAGTCTCAGCATGCCCTGGGGGTGGGGCCAGCATGGCACACTGAGGACTGATTCCCAGTCCCTGCCTCTGCCTAAGCAGGTGCTTTAGCATTCCAAGCTATCTGGCCAGCCTTTGCAATACATGTTGAGAAAATACTTTTATAAGGTATGACACAAAAGAAAACTAAAAAGTCTGAATAAATACTTCTGAACTGTGGAGAGCATGACTTAAATAAAACTCTAAATGTAAAATACTGTTCTGCACTTATATGCACTATGGTATCAGGGACTATTAATGTTAACCTTCCAATGTCCAGTGTTCCATTTTCAGAATGCCCATAACAATGGAACATAATTACATTTTGTTCTCTTTAAATTTTGGTTCCTTGAATTTTTCTAGGTAACATACACGAATTTCATGAAAAAATTGGGGCCGGGGAGATGGCTCAGTGTGAATAAGCGCTTCCCTGGCAAGCACAAGCGCCTGAGTTCAATCCCCAGTTCCGCTAAAAAAAAAAAAAAAAAAAGCCATCATTAGCATAAATGGGTTAAAAACTAGTTCTTAATACATGCCAGAGATACAAAAATACAGGATTCAGGAAAAGCCAGTTCAGAGACATACAGCAGTCTCACTGTGGCAGATCAGTGTGAAGTATCCTCTACCAGAAAGTAGCACGCGAGGAGACAGGCACAGCCATGGCTGGGAGGGACGTGCCCTCAAGAGAAGAAGGGTCGGCAAGCAGTCCCTGGCCTGAAGAACAGACTCTTCCCTCCGGCAGGAAACAGACAGTAAGCCAATCACTGAACCCTGCTTATGGGTGAGGGGCAATGGCTGGGCTGCTTCCTTAGGTCCTGCTCCGCAAATGCTGGAGCTGCATTGCTGAATGGAGGCAGTGAGCCCTCAACTCCAGAACACAGGAAAACAATCAGCGTGGAGATGTCTCAAAAAGCTAGGATTGGAGGACCCATTCCACCCAGCTATTCCCCTCCCGGGTATTTTTCCAAATGAACTGAAAATATCATACCACAGTGACTTATGTGCACCCATATTTATAGCAGTGGAATTTGTCATAGCTAAATCTTGGAAACACCCCATATGCCCATCAACTGAGGAAAGGATAAAGATGTGGTATTTTCATATAATGGAGTACTACTCAGCTATAAAAAAGATAAACCTGAGGTTTTTATGGGTAAATGGATGCAACTACACACCACACTAATAAGCGAAATAAGTCAGATCTGCATGTGTAAACATCGTATTTTCAGTAATGTAAGAACCTGAAAGAGTAAATAAAATCTGAAAGGTGAAAGAAATACTGTGAAAGGGAAAGAATCTGTTCAAAGGGAAGAAAAATGACAGGAGAGGGATGGAGGGGAGGAAAGAGATATATTTATGTATGCAGGATGGCATGGATAATTGTGCTGGTCTACAGAAAGAAAGTTAATGCTTACATTTTTTTCTTCTTTTTAATTTCTTATAACTTTTTTTTTTCTTTTTTAAATGTATTTAGTACAGGGTCTACAGGGTCTCACTACACAGATTGAACTTGTAGTGATTCTTCCTGTTTTTCAGCTTCCCAAGTTCTGGGATTATAGGTGCGTGCCACCATGTCCAGTCTCAATTGCGCCGCAGGGGTGGGGCTGGCACAGTAGGCCAGGGATCTAATCCCTGGCCCCTGTGTCTGCTTAAGCAGGCACTTTAACCCACTGAGCTATCTGGCCAGCCTAACTTTTTTTTTAAAACCAATTCTGTATGCATGGTAATCTAAACAACTAATCTGAAGACAATACTATGCAATGCAACAACTATTGTTGAATTCCTATTATTTTTTGTTTAGTGAAATTCTGTATCATTTCTAGATTTTTTTTTTTTTTTCTTCAATTT